CGGAGGCTTATTTCCGATCAACGATGCAGTAACTGAGCAACCATTGGGAGAATAGCACGGGCTAACCATGGCGTTCTTGGCGTCTTTTGCTGCCTTTCAGGGATGGCATGTAATCACATTATTCCATTTCCTCTCTTGTTTCTGTCGGACAAGCGAGGAGTTGCCACGGCGTTGGCAATGCCACTGAAGATTGGATTCGTTGCTGTTTCTGGGGTTGACATGAACGGAAGGGATGTGGGTTCGGCTCTTTACAACGGCACTAATTATGTGGATGCCGAATGCCTGTAGAAGGGAATCTGGCGTTCGTATCTCTTCCCTTATCGACGGTGATGGTTGGAGGGGCAATTTACCAAGCGATCAAGCATAGATATTTCTTCATTATAGTTACTAGGTATTATTCTTACACTAATTTGAATGATCGTGAACCTTGCCTCGCTCGCCTTACCCGAGCCGTCTCAAGAGTTGACGACTTTGCTCAGCTGGAGCCCGGCTCGGAACCGGCCGATCCATCGAGCTGACCCCGGTCTCCGGACCCACCTACTCCGGAGCGGGATCCACTTCGGATCGGGATCTGGAAGACGAGCCGGAAATGAGGCCGGAGCGAAACACCCCAACTGAGAGAGGGTGGGAGAGCAAGATGAAGGGGTCTCCGGCGCAGCAAGCATCGCCAGATGCCCCCGTACCCGGCCGACCCTTTTCAGGATAGTCACGTCTTTCGGCCACGTCAAGTTCGAATATTTGCCCTTGACCGGACGCGCTCTGGCAGGCAACGAATCCTATACACAACCGCCGCGCGATTGGGAATCCACAGCACATGTCGCTGGTCAAGAGGCCCCGTCCCCAGAAAATAGGTACTGCACCGAGACTTGCCTTCACGTCGGAAGAGAACAGCCTTCTTCTTGGAGCTGAAAAGCCATGGTTTCAAAAACGCCACCGAATGCAGCCCTACACACCTCCAAACATCCGTCTTTCGGCTATCCTGGAACTTCTTTAGTGGGGCTGCGTGCCCCATGCAGCAGTTTACCCCGCTCTGTGCTGGGGACGAACCGCTGATGGCTTCCGAACGGCCGGGCGCAGACTGTACTGTTTGTTGTGCACATGCCGAGAGGTGGCCTTCCTCCCAAGCAACCGATCCGGGCATCAGTTTGGTAGAAAGTCGTTCAAACAATTGGTAACCGGGAAGTTGTAATTGGGTGGTTTGTAAAGATCCACACAGCCGATTATCCTCGGCCACCGAGCTTCATCGTGTCACTATCTCAAGCATTTGGGCGTATAGGTGCGAACTGCCGACAATTGAGAGACTCGAGGCAAACCGGCGGAGGAACAAGAAGCCCGGCTGATGGTAGTGGGAAGCCTGGGCGTCAGTGATTCATCGATTCATCCCTTGCCATCGAAAAAAAAAAAAAAAAGGGTTATTTCCGTCTCGTCAATCTGTCGAAGAAAATCGGGCGGCAAAGTCCAGACTCGTCTCTTGGTGGCTAGCCACGTCTTACTCATGGGCAGCCAATTGAGCTCCTCCCGCTTCCGACATCGCCACCAAAGACCGCTCTGCAGCCCGTGCACACCTTGTCACCGTCTTTCTACCCCACAATCGAAGGCCAAAAATTTGAGATCCAGCAGCGACTCACACCCAAAGCGGCTCCGCCCACGGCCAGACGCTCTTTCTTCCACATCGCCAGTGTCTCGAGCCGTGGAGCCATTGACTCTTCCCCTTCAGATGAGAGACTCTGCTTTCGGTGCTCAATTCTCACGGTAGCAATCTTTTGTTACTCGTCGTTTTTCTTCTTTCTTGTTTTTGTCGTTTATCAAGTTGGTTTTGGCTCTCTCCACTCCACTACCCCCCAGACACGATGCTCCGTCAGACATCGCGCGCCCTCAAGGGCCTCGCCGAAGCTCGGCCCGGGCAACAACGAGCCCTCACCACGGCCCAACGAGCCACAGCCGTAGCAACACGGCGCAACAGCCCCGCCAATGTGAGGAATCAATCGACGACGGCGGCCACAAAACCAACTGCGACGTACGTTTGCGCCTGTTTCCCCACGATCCCCTCCCGTTGGGTGAGTCACGCTGAGGGTTCGAAGGGCTAACTTGGGTATTGATTCAACAGCGAAGCACGGCCGAAACCTAGCCCGTCATTCAATGCCGCAACCAAAGATCGAAGCCATGTCCAGCCCCTCGTTAACCCGAAGAAGAGCGACGTGGACGAGTCGTATGCCTACCGCAATGCCCCTCCTGTTCGCAGGGTCACATGTGACTAACACAAACATGGGATAGATTCATCGGGAAGACTGGAGGAGAGATCTTCCACGAAATGATGCTGCGGCATGATGTAAAGCATATCTGTGCGTTTCTTCTTTTTTTTCGCATTGAGTTTCTTGGTACCCTAGCTCCCTAGCTAACACTACGGTGCTACAGTCGGCTACCCGGGCGGCGCCATTCTTCCCGTGTTCGATGCGATCTACAACTCCCCCCATTTTGGTTTCGTGCTTCCAAGGCACGAGCAGGGCGCTGGCCACATGGCCGAGGGCTATGCGCGTGCTTCAGGAAAGCCTGGTGTTGTGTTGGTGACATCTGGGCCTGGCGCAACCAACGTCGTCACCCCGATGGCTGATGCGCTTGCGGATGGCACGCCAATGGTCGTGTTTACCGGCCAGGTCGTCACGGCCGCTATCGGAAGTGATGCTTTCCAAGAAGCCGACGTGATTGGCATCTCACGGGCGTGCACCAAGTGGAACGTCATGGTCAAGAGCGTCGCCGAACTCCCCCGGAGGATCAACGAGGCTTTCGAGATTGCTACCAGCGGCAGGCCGGGCCCTGTTCTTGTCGACCTTCCCAAGGATATCACGGCCGGCGTCCTGAGGCGAGCCATTCCCACCGAATCTGCTATCCCAACGATTCCTAGCGCCGCGTCTCGTGCTGCCCTCGAAATCAACAAGAAGCAGCAGGATGCTTCGATCCGCCGCGTCGCCGATCTCATCAACATCGCTAAGAAGCCCGTCATCTATGCTGGCCATGGTGTTATCTGCTCCAAGAACGGCCCGGCACTGCTCAGGACGTTGGCGGACAAGGCATCTCTTCCCGTCACGACTACTCTCCAAGGTCTCGGCGCCTTTGACGAGTTGGACGAGAAGTCGCTGCACATGCTTGGCATGCACGGCTCTGCGTATGCCAACATGGCGATGCAAGAAGCTGACTTGATCATCGCCCTCGGCGCCCGCTTTGACGACCGCGTGACCCTGAGCGTTGCCAAGTTTGCCCCGGCTGCTAAGGCCGCTGCTGCCGAGGGACGTGGAGGTATCATCCACTTTGAGATTCTGCCCAAGAATATCAACAAGGTTGTGCAAGCGACCGAGGCCATCGAAGGCGACATCAGCGCTAGTCTTGAGATGCTTCTGCCACATGTTGAGGCCAAGGCGATGGCCGACAGGAAGGACTGGTTTGACAAGATCAACGAGTGGAAGGCGAAGTGGCCTCTTTCCGACTACGAACGGGCGGAGCGCTCAGGCTTGATCAAGCCGCAGACTCTTATCGAGGAGCTGAGCAAGCTGACGGCCGACCGCAAAAACGACACATACATCTCTACTGGTGTTGGCCAGCATCAGATGTGGGTGGCTCAGCACTTCCGCTGGCGGCACCCTCGGTCCATGATCACCTCTGGTGGCTTGGGGACCATGGGTTACGGCCTGCCGGCTGCCATCGGCGCCAAGGTGGCGAAGCCTGATTCGCTCGTCATCGACATTGACGGTGATGCCTCGTTTGCCATGACCCTGACCGAGCTCTCCACTGCTGCGCAGTTCAACATTGGCGTCAAGGTCATCATCCTGAACAACGAGGAACAGGGCATGGTCACGCAATGGCAGAACCTGTTCTACGAAGACAGGTATTCACACACCCACCAGAAGAACCCCGACTTCATGAAGCTGGCCGACGCCATGGGCGTGCAGCACAGGCGCCTCGTAAAGCCCGAAGAGACCGTGGAGGCTCTCAAGTGGCTGATTGAGAGCGATGGGCCGGCCGTGCTCGAGGTGGTGACGGACAAGAAGGTCCCTGTCCTTCCCATGGTCCCCGCCGGGTCTGGTCTGCACGAGTTCATCACCTGGGATAGTGGTAAGTTGATTCCTCAGTTGTTTTGGCGTAAGATCATATCGACTAACACACTCAACAGCCAAGGACAAGATTAGGCGAGAGCGGATGCGGGAACGCACCGGCGGCCTCCACTCTTAAAGCATGCAACCCCATACCTTCGCTATTCCCCTTAATCGTCCAGTTCTTGACATTTTTCCCACTTGTTTTTTTGCGGAACGGATCGGAAAAATTCGGAAAATCTGGTTGTTGTTGTTGGCATTGAGCCATGTTTTGCAATGCATCACGGGTCAGCAAAAGTTGGTTGCAGATCTGCTGTATGATCTGGTTTTATTTTGCGAGGAGCCTGGGGTAAGGCCTCGCTGTTCCCCCTGTCGCCGTGCCGTGCCGATGGGCTGTATATATTGGATGAATCGATACCATGTGAATTTGAGCATTCGAGACACCGCGGAGGCATTGCTAAGTTGTTGCTTGGTTCCTTCTGTGTGCCTCTGGAGGGATTCATGTGTGTGACTTATCATGGTGGCATGGAAGCCGCTGCTCAATGACCAACTCCGTGTTGAACAGGATCTCATTGCGACCTGGCGACTGACTGAGGGCTTACCCATATGTAGCTTATATACCACAGCCAAACTCATAAGGGGGGCACCTGCTTCATGTTGTTTTCGGAATGATGCCATTGAGTCCAAGGTTCTCACCCTTTCCCGCGGGGTTCGAACACTGAAGTTTTGAGTAATTGCCTTGACCACTCCTTAACATAGTGTACGCAACGTTAACACAAACCAATGTCCCAGTCAATGCCACCATCTTCCACCTCAACTCAAGTTTGTTGATCAGCAAGAACAGGCCAGGCTCCGCCCAACGGTGAAATACTCGGCGGTGTTGGTGATCATGGTGGGGTGGGTACCGGGCACTCCCCGCATCGGCCCCGGGAAGAAAGTTCAAGCTTGTTCATCCGAAGTGGCTTTCCGGGGCAGAACCATGAATGTTCTCAGAACTCTGCTATTAGCGTGTTTGACTGTCGCTGTAACTGTAACATCACGGGCTAGGCTACCTTTCACAGGCACCAAACCCGCCAACACTTTTTTTCTTCTGATGCTCATTGCCGCGGACTACACATACAAAACAGTGCGGGGCAACAACGGCCGACTCTCACCTCCGCGACTCCGGAATTGCCCACATAGCCTCAACCTCATTCTCGTCGCACCTGACCTTTCACACCTTTTCTATTTTCCCTCATTTTCCCTCTCTTTCTCTTTCCATTCGCGTATGCCAGACGAGGACCTCAACGAATAAAAGAAGACAGAAAAGAAAAACGTACTTTACCAGAAATGGCTGGTCCCGTGCCCATCGCTCACTCTCTGAGTGACATCTACACCTCAGATGCCCTGCCGTCTCAAACCAAGAGGTGGAATAGGCTCCTGGCCAAGTTCGAGTCGCTTCACGGCCGTGCGCCTGAATTCGTCTCGCGGGCTCCGGGCCGGGTGAATGTCATCGGCGAGCACATCGACTACTCGCTGTACCCGGTGCTGCCCATGGCCATCACGGCCGATGCCTTGCTCGCCGCGTCAACCGATCCTACCCCTACCGAGGCCAGCACCTTCAAGATCACCATCGCCAATGTGCAGGAGGCAAAGTTTCCCGCCCATGAGTTCGACATTCCTTTCGATGCCGTGGACATCGATGCCACCGTCCATGAGTGGACCAACTACTTCAAGTCCGGCCTCCGTGGCGCATTAGAGCTGCTCCGCAAGAAGAAGGGCCCTGACTTCAAGCCTAAGAGCATGAGGATCCTCGTCGACGGCACTGTCCCGACGGGCGGCGGCCTGAGCTCCAGTGCGGCCTTTGTGACCGCCAGCGCTCTAGCTGTCATGGTAGCCAACGGGGAGGAGACCGTCGACAAGACCGAGTTGACCGAGCTGGCCATTGTGAGTGAGCGCGCAGTAGGCGTGAACTCTGGCGGGTAAGTTCTTATGTTGCGGCAGCAAGCAGCATCTCTGCCAACAGAAAAGGAGAAGAAGAAAGAAAGGGAGAAGAAACCACCGCTAACATACCTCCAGAATGGACCAATCTGCCTCGGTCTTCTCCGAGCGTGGCTCCGCCCTCTTCGTCTCTTTCACCCCGACCCTAAAGGCACGCCCAGTCCAGTTCCCCGAGACCGACCCGGCACTAGTCTTCCTCATTGCCCAATCCTTCGTCACCTCCGACAAATTCGTCACCGGGCCCATCCACTACAACCTCCGCGTGGTAGAATGCACGCTCGCAGCAGCCTACCTCAACGCAGCCCTCAACCCACCCGGCACCACGCTCCCCACCGACGCCGCCCCCCTCGGCATCAGTCTGCACGGCTTCCAAGAGACCTACTTCGCCCTCCAAGAGCAGGCGGGACGCGCCGCCCAATCGGCCCCCGAGCAGCTGCAGGAGCTTATCACACTGACCTCGCAAACGCTCACCAAAGCCGAGGGCTACACGCGCGAGGAGATCGCCACGGTGCTGGGCCTGACCGTCGACGAGCTCGAAGCCCGCTTCACCTCGCGCTTCCCCGTGCGCGCCGAGCGCTTCAAGCTGGCCCAGCGCGCGCAGCACGTCTTTGGCGAGGCGCTGCGCGTGGTGCAGTTCCTAGCGCTGCTCGAATCCGGCACCACCAACAACAACAGCCCTGACATTGGCACGCAACTCGGCGTCCTCCTCAACGCCACCCAAGACTCCTGCCGCGACACCTACGAGTGCAGCTGCACCGAGATCGACACCCTGTGCGCCCTGGCGCGCGCCGCCGGCGCCTACGGCAGCCGCCTGACCGGCGCCGGCTGGGGCGGCTGCAGCGTGCATCTGGTTCCCGCCGACCGCGTGGCGGCCGTGCGTGAGGCCTGGCATCGGGGCTACTACGGCGAGTTGGAGCTTACGGCGGAGCAGCGCGAGGCGGCGGTGGTGGTTAGTCGGCCGGGGGGTGGGAGCGCGGTTTTGAGGGTGGTGGAGGGAGGCGTTTTGGGGTGAGCGGGCTTTTAGAGGCTGAGTCTTCTTCTTGAGCCTTTTTCTTCTTCTTCCCGATAAGTAGGGAGGGGGAGAGAGGGGGTGCTCGCTCGTTTTGGTGGTTTGGTATGGTCTAGTATCACTTGAGGGATGGGGAGGCCCGGGAGTATGGACTGGGTATCCTTGACTTGGGAGTTGTGTCCCCAAGCTGGCCTGGCTTGTTTGGGCAACGTTGTGTATAGATAACCGAACAACGAGAAATATTATTACGCATGTTACCGCCCCCTATTCACAATAAGCACCGCCAAAAATAAAAGCGGAAAGTCACAACAGCAACAGAAAATAATACTGTGAATATTTATCAGTTACATACTAGTTTGCTCGCCCTCTTTTTTTCTCTCCCTCCAATACCCCACCCAGACGCTGAGGCTAACGGCAAGGGCGACAAGTGTTGCGATTACGGAACATACTAGCTCAGTGATCATGGTCGTCCGAATGCCGTCCATGTAACAGGCCAGAACAAGGCTCGAATCTGACCCGAAACGCTGCCGAAATCCTGTTGCTCCAGCTTCAATGACTTGATGGGAAGGAATCCATGGTGCCTGTTCTCCCAAACAGTCCACCAGGCCGTTGACAAACGTCGCCTCGGCCGCCGCCATGAAGAGTAAAGCTCCGGTTGCCTCAAAGAACAATGTTGTCCCCGTGACAATGGTAATATCGGAGAAAGAGCCTGCGAGTCTCTGATTTGCTACCATGGGAACCTGCAAGACAAGGCCAATCCCTGAGCCTACCAGCACTTGGAACCCAATCGTTTTGGCGAACAACGTCCCAACCTCCAGTGTGTACAAACAAACAACACCAGCCGTCATGATTAGGGGCCCGGTCATAAGCCACACGCCCCAGTGGACCTTTGGCATCGACGTGTTGGAGACGATGGTGAAGATGGACACGCCGAGAATGAGCGGAATGGTGCGGTACCCGCTATCCGCGGCAGAAACGTTGGTGACGGCCTGGAAATAGATGGGCAGGATATAGAGTAGAGGGAGCTGAACGGCCGCAACAAAGAAGATGCAGATTATGTTCCCGAGTATGCGCCATTGCTTCAGGATCCGGAACTGCACCATGGCCCTCTCCCCCTGAAACCACTCCACCAGAACAAACACCACAACAAGCAGGCTAAACCCCACCAGCAATCCAACCGTGGCCGGTCGCGACCACACCCCCAACCTCACTCCCCAGCTGCATAGCCAGCAAGAAACAAGTCGACGCCCCCATAACCACCACCAAACCCAACAAATCCAGCTGAAGGAACTTCTCCCAGAGAGCCACCCCCTCCGGCGGGGCCGCCGCAGCAGGCGTCTCCAACACCAACGCGACCAACCCCGCCGCAAGCGCACCCAACGGCAAATTCACCCAAAAACACCACCGCCACGACAGGTGCTCGGTAAACACGCCACCCAGCAACGGCCCCAGGACACTCGCACAACCAAACGTGACCCCCAACACCGCCATACACGCGGGCGCCCTCTCGGGCGGCGCCACCAGCGCAATGATGGTAAACGAGCCCGTGATGATGCCCGCCCCCCCCACGCCGCTGACGGCGCGGCCCGCGATGAGCGCGGCGCTGGAGGGGGCGGCGCCGGCCAGCGCGTTGCCGGCTTCGAAGATGAGGATCGCGGCGAGGAAGGCGAGCTTCAGGTCGAAGTGGCGGAAGGCTTTGCCCCAGGCGGATTGGAAGGGGGCGGTGGTCAGGAAGAAGGCGCTGCCGTACCAGGTGACGTGGTTGAGGCTGTGGAAGGTGGTGGTGATGGCCGGGATGGCGTTGGTGAGGATGGTGAGGTCGATGGCGAAGAGGAAGATGCTGAGGATGAGGGAGGCGAGGAGGGCGAGGAGTTTGGGGGTGGGGAGGGGGGGGGTTGATGGGGGTGGTGGTGTTGTGGTCGGCTGGTTGGTTTTGACGCTCGGCGGTTCCCAGTTGTTGGGATCGGTTGCCTGTTTCTCCGACTTGATGGCCCCCATGCCGGTCTTTCCATCGAAGGTTGGTTCGAGGGGCGTGTCGGTGCTGCCCCGGTTGAGGTCAGCGTCGGTCATCTTGAATTTCAGTGTCGAACTGAGCCCGAGAGCGTGCTTGGGAATATATGAGAGAGATGGTAAGTGAGAATGAAAGACGATACCTCAGGCAACAGCCTGCGGAAACGAGCGACTTCATTTTCTTGTCAGTGAGTCACCGGTTCATGTAAGGCTCGGGGTTTGAACCGCCCGTAACTCGTATTCCGATTTGCCGGGTAGACGGAAGATCAACCCGATTAACTGCAATTGCACAAACCAAGCGGTCGTGTCCCGAAAGCTTCGAGTTGCGTAGCCATAAACAATAACGATTTCATCTGTAGATTGGAACAAGCAGGGTTTGAATATATAGTTAATCCAGTCAGGAGATCATGTCCCGGTTTTCAAACGCGTTGAGTTCATAGTCTGGTTGCAAGAGAGTTCTTCAACCTAGTAGTGAGTGCCCTGGATTCGAGGCACTCCTATATCTTTAAACTCAAAACACCTGGAGAATAACCTGGAAGCTGTGGTTGTCGTACATGGAGATGGGAGACACTCGCTTGGGGGATGAAGGTAAGACATTGGATTATGTCAGATATCTAGAAAAGAAACTGGAAAAGAAAGATCGGCCATGGTGAAGCGCATATAACAGCGAGAGGTGGGATATAGGTCACCTCCTGGTAGCCGAAAGCACCCTAAGAGTTAAAGACATCGTCATGGTATGGGTGCCCTTGGCGCTGAGTGAGTACCCCATGTGGGTGATACTCTAATACGACGGGTGCCGGAATGAACAATCGAACCAAAGCTAGGTAACTATCCTTAGATTGTGCCCTAATTCCGGTCACCCCGAATATGCGCCATAAACTCTCGCTATCTATCTCCTGCTAGCTCACGAACTGCCACTGTTTGGACCAAGTCTTGTGGCCTCAACCCTTACCCAAAGGACTTCCGGCCGGCATGTGGCAGATGACGAGGTTAGGCCAAGAGCAGTAACTCGAGATTGGTCTGGACCACGCTAACGCAAAGGCGACCATCAGTTAATTAGTCAAGGAATTGACAGGAAGCCCGCATCGAGGCCCGTTGGTTGGTATCACCACCCGGGGTATGCTTGGTGTAGCCCCGAACCATACAGCGAACGGCCAAGGAGCTGATCATCACTCCTACGAAGTCATGTCAATGACACCGGTCAGACGTCATCTTGCCACCCACCCCGCCCGCATCCCGCTTCTTTGTCATACCACTAACACGCGAGTCTCGTGAGAGCATGGCGCCTATATAGAGCCCTCTCCCCGCGCCCCAGTCTTCCACTTCTCTTCCCTCCATCGTCTTCGTTTTTCTTTTATTTCTTTGCACCTTCTGCTGCTCGCAATTTTATCCTTTTCTCCAAGCAACAAAGTTTCAAGCCCACATATAAAACACAAATCAGAATACAAGAAAACACTTGTCTGTTTGACTTCGAGATTCGATACACCTTCGAGAGAATAAAAAAAGAAAAACCAAAAAATCAAATCTTACCCACTCTTCACCATGAGCGATTGCGGGTGTTCGACCACTGGAACCTGCAACTGCCCCTCGGGGCAATGCACCTGCCCCAGCTGCCCGGTGAGCACAACATGTTTCTGAAGTATTGCAACACCTCTACCGATAGAGACTGACACCTATGGGGGTTGTAGAAGCCCAACAAGTAAACCATTCGGCTGGATGCTCGGGGCACCCATGGTCAGGGAAGGCTTCTCAATATGCCGTGGTGTTGATCAGGCCTTGTATTATTATGATATGACTTTGGTCTTGATGAGACGTGGTACACATGTCTCGGCACGTTGGCGTTTGTTTGGTGTTTCTTGAGAAAAGGCTGAAAAACAAAACGAAAGGAATGAAGCGACGACCTGTATATTCTTAGTTAGTTTACTGCAATTGCCCTTCTGACAGCGATCTTTTGAATACAAATAGCGGTAGAACTAGAAATATCGTGCGTGATTTTGCAACTGGTTCGTTTTTACAGTCCGCGTGGATACGCGTCCTAGCAGCTGTAAACCGTGATTTCCAGGTGGGATTCGCATCGCTTCCGTCTATTCCATATCCTGAGACTCGGTATCAGGGGCCGTTTGCTATTGTAACGTATCCTTTTTTGCAAACTTACACAAATCTCTTCTCGCCAAAGCCTGCTCAAAACAATATAATCAAGCTCGTCTGCTAACAGGGCGCCCAATGCCACTCGATAGTCCAGAGAAAGCCATCCTCCTCCTGACCACATTAACCCGCCCTCACGGTCTTCCCCCCTGGGTCTTGGCCTGCCCTTTCCTCTCCACATTCTTGATCTTCCTCTTCATCCGCACCTGTACCCGCCGGTACTTGGTATATAGCGCGAGCGCATCCCGCAACACCACGAAGAGACACCCGCCGGCCAAGCTGCGACCCCAGCGCTGTTGTAGCAACCCAGGGGGCGTCCTGCTGCGCCAGGAACGAGACGGTGACACCCAGCCCTTGGGGACGACGGCGCGTATGAGCTCACCCATGCCGTACGAGATGGCGGGGAAGAGAAGGGACGTGACAACGCTGTTAATTATGAGGCCGAAGAACGAGGCCGGGTCATTGTTGTTTTCGCCGGCCCCTGCATTGACGCCCCCATTACCGCCCCCATTGCCACCCTCCTCGTTCTGGTTTCCGGCTGCCTGTGCCGCCGGTTGTTGAGCAGCTGGTGGCTGTTGCTGTTGCTGTTGTTGTTGCTGTTGTGGCTGGGGTTGTGGTTCCTGGGGAACATCACGCCGTTGTTGATCTGCCTCGCCTAGAGCGTCTCTGATATCTTCCTCGTCCGTATCGTCATCGTCGCCATTATCTCCACCACCCCCGCCGCCTATCCTCACCTCCAAGTGATGCTGTACTTGCCAGTCAACGGCAGGAGGCTCGTCAGCAGCGTCATCGACATCATCGCCGAATAGCCCGCGGACGGCGCGAGTGAGGTTAGCCCACGCGCCCCTGACGCCATCAGCTTCCTCTTCGTGGCGGGCGGCAGGCCTATTGGGGGCGAGCCTGGCTTCCGGTTGCGCCTCGTCCTCCGTCGCGGGAAGCCCACGCAGGGTACGGTTTAGACGCCGCTCCAGCGGCCCAAAGAGGTCGTGCAAGAGGTAAGAGTAGCTGAGTTGCACAACCGGCATAAGGGTCATGGCCCATTGGGGCGAGGGTGGCCATGTGGGAAGATTGTCCTGCGCGACAAGAGTTGCGCCGTACTACGCAAAGATGAATTCGTCAGCGGGGTTAACCTACGAAGAGGAAGGTTAAAAAAGACTCACGAGGACGGAGAAGGGCAGCAGGAGGACGGTCCCCAGCGATGGGAGCCACCTAAAAATCAACAGCCCAGGACCGATGGCCGACAGGGTCGCCAACTTGATCAGGGTTGAGGGCAGCCGTTGGCGCCCTCCTCCCTCGAGCCAGCGGATAAACGAGTCGCGGCCGACAAATATGCTGACCGCAGTCCCACCATACCACATTGCGCCGGCGAAACCACCGCCGATTACGAATGACCCGAGCACGGCGGGCGCCGCGCGGCTGTACCGGCGGTATAGGTTGTCTCTAATAGCGAGGAATCGGTCGTACGGTTCTTCGATGATAAAGGGCACCTTGCAGGCCGGACACGCTAGAGGATTTTTATTTGACCGCCGTCGTGTCGTTTCCATCTCCCCGATGTAGCGAAGCATGCATCCTTCGTGCGCCTCAAGGCTGCACGGGCAAGGGTCCACCCATACTGCGTTCGGGGTATCGACGTCTGTGCATAGGCAGATGAAGCATATGTGCTGCTCGTTTGTTGTAAGGGGGGCGGGGATAATCGAATGCGCGGTGTTGCCGTTGCTTGGGGTCGCCATCCTGAGTTCTCGGCGTTCGAACGCCAGGATTTGAGTCCAAGGCGCCAACCAACCCTCAGCGACTCGGTAGAGCAGCGCAGTTTCTAGTGTCTCCCTAAAATGCCCTGCCGTTAGTGATGGGATATGAGGAAGCGCATAAAGAGTCTCTACCTTTGTTCTAACTGTCACCAACTCTCGGTCGTTGTTTTCGGCGGCTGAGAAGAAAAGGCAGGGGGCAGTGGTTGTTGAGAGCCGCTTGACGGAGCACCGCGGCCTCAGGGCCGTCCCGTACCTATTGAGACTGTGACATCAGCGCTGCCCCACTATTTCCGGGGGCTTTGCGGATCAGCTCGAGATGAAACGGTAATTTACAACCAGACTGTGTAACGAACATACAAATTACAATGTATTTCTCAAAACATACCCCGTTGTTAAGACCCATGGAATATCCCCCTACTATCTTCTCAGTATTACTTATATGGCTAAGATACCTTACTGTAGGCTTAAGAGAGGCAACCCACGCTGGCCATGCTGAGTTGTAGTAAAGTCTCAAAAATTGGCGCCGGTATTGAATCCAGACCGCGCCTGCCCCACTCCCGCCCGCAGCCCCTCCATCGATGGGTGTAGAATCTGGCCGACCCCTTCTCGTCTGGTCGAAACAGCCCCGCCAGGATCGTTTGTTGACCTGGAGAATTCCCCGTAATTCTGCGCTTTAGAAACTCCAAACCACCAAGCATACGCAGGCATTTCGAATATTCCATTCACCATGGTATGTATCGCTTGCTGACCCCTCCCTCACTCTACAGGGCATGAACCGTTCTCGTGCAACCCGAGACTGACCCCCCTGCCCAATCTAGTCCACAACACCCAAGCAGCGCCTTGCGCTGGCCATCTGCGACTTCCTGTCGACGTCGCTGACGGACGGCACCCTGACCTCGGAGGAGAAAGACTCGATCGACATCGCCATCAACTGCATCGGCGAGTCCTTCGGCGTCGACCCCACCGACAAGGCCGCCGTCTCCCAGGCCGTCGGCGCGCAGAACCTCTTCCAGATCTACTCGGTCTACGAGAAGCTGAGGGGCTCCAAGCCCGCCGGGGGCGCTGCTGCCTCCACGCCCGCCCCGGCCACCACCACCGCCGCCGCCCCGACCGACGAGCAAAAGAAACAAGCCGAAGCCCTCAAGTCCAAGGGCAACGCCGCCATGGCGCAGCGCGACTACCCGGCGGCGATCGACCTCTACACGCAGGCACTAGCCGTGCACCCGGGCAACGCCATCTTCCTGTCGAACCGGGCGGCGGCGTACAGCGCGGCGCGGGACCACGAGGCCGCCCGCGCCGACGCCGAGGCCGCCGTCGCCGTCGACCCCAAGTACACCAAGGCGTGGAGCCGCCTGGGCCTGGCGCGCTTCGCGCTGGGCGACGCCAAGGGCTCGATGGAGGCGTACCAGAAGGGGATTGAGTACGAGGGGAATGGTGGCAGCGACGCCATGAAGAAGGGCTACGAGACGGCTAAGCGCAGGGTCGAGGAGATTGCGGCCGAGGAGGCGGGTGCCGGCAGCAGTGGGACGAGGGGTGCGGGAGCGGGCGCTGGCGGCTCGCCCGGATTGGGTGACCTGGCGAGCATGTTCGGTGGTGGCGGCGGTGGTGGCGCGGGCGGTGGTGGTGGTGGTGGCATGCCCGACTTTGCGTCCATCATGAACAACCCCATGTTTGCGTCCATGGCGCAGAACCTGATGAGCAACCCCGACATGATGGCCAACCTGATGAACAACCCGCGCCTGCGCGAGATGGCTGATTCGTTTGGACGCGGTGGCGGCGGCATGCCCGATATCGGCTCGCTGATGTCGGACCCGAGCGTGGCTGAGATGTGAGCCCCCTCTCGTGCGATGATTTTGTGCCAACTCAATCCTGACATATTCACAGGGCCCGGAATTTGATGGGTGGTGCGGGACGGGGCGGAGCTGGTGGTGCTCCTGGTGACGGGAGGTGATAGGAGTTGCGTTCGGTTGAGTTATATTAGAGCCGACACTTAAAGGGACCTTTGGGCGTCGGGAAGTCATGCAATAGCCAGCGGAATGAAGACACCGAATATTTGCAAATCGCAGGTGGACAACACGCCAATGATTGCTAGCTGAAAACCTCAAGAATTAAGCAGAGCTATTGAAGTCAGCCATTTATACCCTGAGAGTTTGAAATGTTCATTTTTGGTGATATCTACGGTCTAAAGACGAGCCATGTACAAACAAAATTGCCCCCAAAAAAACAAACCACCCCAACTACATACCTACCTTGTTTTTTACGCCTCAAGCACCATCACCATCCAGCAAAACTAGCCCACCCACCTCCGAGCGCTCCTGAACATCCTCAGCCACGGCCCAAACTCACCCCACTCCTCGATCTCGTCCGCCGGCACGTAGCTGGCCACATCAGCGGGGATATTCCGTTCCGGGTGCGGCATCATGGCCAGCACACGGCCGTCCCTGCTCGAGACAGCGGCCACACCACCTGGGCTGCCGTTGGGGTTATACGGGTACTGCTCCGTGACGTTCAGCCTGTTATCCACGTAGCGTAACGGGATGCCGCCCGCTTCGGCGAGCGCGCGGAACGACTCGTCCGACGCAAACTCGGCTCTGCCCTCGCCGTGGGAGACGACGATCGGCAGGCTGGAGCCGTCCATGCCGTGGAAGAAGACCGACGGCCGGGCCGGGTTGTCTTCGACCTTGACCATGCCGAAGCGCCCCTCGAATTGCGACGAGGCGTTCTCGACAAAGGTAGGGAAGTGCTCGGCGCCGGAGATGAGCTCCTTGAGACGGGACAGCATCTGGCAGCCGTTGCAAACGCCTAGAGCGAATGTGTCCTTGCGGTTGAAGAAATCGGCCAGCTCGCGCCGTGCCTTGTCGTGCAGCAAAATCGACTTGGCCCAACCCTGGCCGGCGCCGAGCACGTCGCCGAACGAGAAGCCACCGCAAGCGGCGAGGCCGACAAAGTCGGACAGCGACCGGCCAGCGATGATGTCCGTCATGTGGATGTCGACGGCGTCGAAACCCGCCGCGCGGAAGGCAAAGGCCATCTCAGCGTAACCGTTGACACCCTGCTCGCGGAGGATGGCGACGCGCGGCATCTTGCCGAAGAAACCCGTGATGGACGCCGTCAGAGGAGTGATGTTCTCGCTGGGGGAAAAGGTGAGGTTGAAGGAAAGACCAGGGTCTTCCGAGTCCAGGATAGTGGCGTACTCGGACTCGGCGCACGCCGGAGTGTCGCGCAGCTTCTGCATCTCGTAGGACGTCTTGGTCCACCATTGTTGCATCTCGGCTCTGTCGAGGCTGACAAACGGCGCTCCCTCGCCATACCGGATGGTAAGTACCTGCTTAGATGTCGCCTGGACAACGCCGAACTTGCGAATCAAACCAGCAGGAGGGCCGCAGGTGGCGAAACACCTCTTGAAGTTCACCTCATCCGAGGCGCGCACTTGGAAGACGGCACCCAGTTCTTCGTTGAACAAAGCGTCGACCATGTCCGACAAGTTGCCAGAGGCAGCGATGCCATCCATCATGAGATCAACGCCGCACCGGCCGGCGAACATCATCTCGGCGATGGTGGTGATGAGACCGCCGTCTGACCTGTCGTGGTAGGCAAGGACAACGCCGCTCTCGTGCAACTGAGCTAGCGCATCGAAATAGTCCTTCAGGAGGTCCACATCCCGGACGTCGGGCGCCTCGTGGCCGATGGCACCCAGTGACTGAGCGAGCGCGGAACCACCCATGGCCTTGCGACCCTGCGCCAAATCGACGTAGAGTAGAACAGTCTCGCCCACATCCTCCACCCGGCGAAGCTGAGGAGTCCAAGTACGCCGGATATCCTCGACCAGGGTAAACGCTGAGATGACAACCGACACAGGGGCCGTCACGCTCTTCTTGGTCTCTCCATCCTTCCAGGATGATTTCATGGATGTCGAGTCCTTGCCTACGGGGATGCTCACGCCGAGCTGCGGGCAAAGATGCATTCCGATCGCCTCCACGGCCTCATAAAGCGCAGCACCCTCGCCCGGATGGTTCACAGCTGCCATCCAGTTGGCCGAGAGCTTCACACGCCGCAGGTCTCCACGGTGGCTGCCGCCCTTGATGTCTGCTGCCCCAAGGTTGAGCAAACTCTCAGCAACAGCCATCCTGGCGGAGGCAGCAGGAGAGATAAGTGCGAGGGTGGGTTTTTCACCCATAGCCATCGCCTCACCAGTCCTCGCCCCGTTGAGGCTGAAGGCTGTCGCCGTTACGGCAACGTCGGCAACTGGTGTTTGCCACGGCCCGACCATTTGGTCGCGAGTGGTAAGACCGCCAACTGTCCGATCGCCGATGGTGATCAGGAAAGACTTGGAACCGACCGCGGGCATCCAGAAAACGCGCTGAACAGCTTGCTTGAACAGGTCCGCATCGCTAAGTGAACCGTCGATAGCTGATTTCAAGCTGGCGACAGGGTCGAAAACGGGCCATGCGGGCTTCTTGGAGCTGACAATGCGCTCCAACGTGCGACCCTTGGGGAAGAGGACATCCATTGGGACATCGATGGGGCGGGGGTACTCGTTCGATTCCTTGTCGCTAAGAATCAACTTGGAGACACCATCCCTCTCTCGGGAAAGAACAGTTCCGACGTCCGAAAAGTTACAGCGTTCACGTCCTATCCGTCGTTAGCGAGTGATGGCGCAGTGCAGAAAACAGACTTACGGCAAATGCTAGTGAACCGTTCCATCCCGTCGCTGTTCACAAGAACAACATAGCGCTCCTGAGCCTCATTGCACCAAATTTGAAGCGGGCTCATGCTCTTGTCCACGCTCTCAACCTGGCGGAGTTCAAATCTACCACCAAATCCGGCATCCCTGACAAGCTCCGGAAGTGCGTTTGAAAGCCCGCCAGCGCCAACGTCGTGGATCATGGCAATGGGGGTCTGGTCCCCCAAAGCCACGCAGGTGTTGATTACCATCTGCGCACGGCGCTCCATCTCTGGGTTGCCGCGTTGGACGCTGTCAAAGTCCAATTCTGCATTGCCCTCTCCCGAGGCATTGCTCGACGCAGCACCGCCACCGAGACCGATCAACATAGCAGGGCCACCGAGAACAATAACATGCGCGCCCTCAGTGACATCCTCGGGGCGCTTAAGCGCGTGCTTCTCTCTGACGGTGCCAACACCACCGGCAATCATAATCGGCTTGTGGTAACCACGGAACTCCCCTTCGACGTTCGTGTCATCCGCCGTGAGGAGCGTGCGGAAGGTTCCTGCAAGGCAGGGGCGACCGAACTCATTGTTGAAACGGGCGCTGCCAATGGGAGCCTCGAGCATGATATCAAGACTGCTGGCAAAATGCGCTGGGCGACCCGACATCAATTTCCCATGGAGCCTGATGGTCTGGGATGAGCAGATCCGAAACCCAGAAACCACAGAGGCCAGCTTTCGGCGTTGAACCCCGTCCAACGGCCCCTTCGTCACGGATTTCTCCTCCAGACCCGGTAGCCGCACCCGGGAACGGGGCAATGGCAGTGGGGTGGTTGTGCGTTTCGACCTTGGCCAAAACATGTAGGAGTTCCTTGTTCAGCTTCCAGGAACCGGTCGAATAGTCAGGGGCCCAAAGGTTAGTCTGCTCGCCTTCCATAACCGCCGCGTTATCGCTGTACGCTGAGACGGTGTAGTCAGGCGTGACCTTGTGGGTGTTCCTGATCATCTCAAACAGCGTCTTCCCCTTGGCCAACCCGTCGATGGTCCAGTTCGCATTGAACTGTTTGTGGCGACAGTGTTCCGAATTCACTTGGGCAAACATGAATAGCTCGATATCGTGCGGCGGACGCCCCAGTTCGGTAAACTTTTCCACCAAGTATTCCACCTCGGACTGGTCCAGGGCAAGGCCGCGAGCCTTGTTGTATTCGTTCAACACCTGTGCCGGATCCCGGCCGTTTTCAAAGATGTTGACAACTTCGAGTGGAGCGGATACGCTCTCAGCGAACATGGTGTTGAGGTCGGGCGCATCGGTGGAAAGGGTTTCGGTCATGCGGTCGTGTAGGATATCGCGGAAGGGAACGGTTTGTCGTTGTAGGGCTGCTCAAATTCAATGGTGATGATGCGGCCACGCTCAATCTGGGAGATCTGTTGCTCGAAGCCGCACACCTGGGCAATGCTGGTGGCCTTGGAACTCCATGGCGAGAGGTACCGTGGAGTCACGTACCACTTCCGCTCATGGCCGATGTGCGATAAGTGAGGGGTAGATTTCCCAGCACCGGCCTCCAGGGGAAGCAATTGGGCAAGCTTTTGCTGGGCGGCCTCGGAATCGCCCTCGATATGGGCGTAGTAAACCCAGGAGCCTCGCAAGTTCGAAACCTTGATGGGCGCCACCTTGTTGATCAGGTCCTTGAGCTTCTGGGCCTCGGCGGCCGTGAAGCACGAGTCTCCGGCGAGAGTGAGATGCGCCATGGTGACGACGTGTGACGACACCGAGTCCGATCAAAAATGTTGCAGTGGATGGGTTGACAGAGAGCCAAAGCTCACTGGGCTCGCTGGTTGAGAGTCATCGAGCAGCGAAGACCGGAACGCGGGGGCGGGGTCCTCGAGGTTGAAATTTCGCGCGTTGGGGTCGACTATGCCAATTTTGGTTGGCTGGAACGCTCTTTCGTGTAATTTTTCAGTCATTGAGCGCTAAAGATACACCGACCACCAGGGACTGCCCCTCGCTCTTGAGAGTTCAAATCTCCAGAAGAGAAATTTGAAAGATGGTCACGCGCGGCACATCCATTGCCAAAGTGGTATATATCCCCAGGAGAGGTACTATCAACGTAAATCTAGAGTTATGACCAGTTCGGGATCTATAAAAATGAATTCGCTCTGCAATTGCTCATTTTGTATGTCTCCTGTTTTGTACTCGACAGGGAAAATGACGTTCCTCGCTTCAAGTAGGCGATCCTTGAGAGAAAATATGATGATGCATTTGGCGCTAGGGATTGATGTTATACGCTGGTCGACGACCCCCTGTAGCCGACCCGCTGTTGGGGGACCAATGGTGACGGCTCTGGATCCGAGCGGCACGGACCTGGGCTTGGCTCAACTTTTCAATTTTCCCGTGAGCATCGACCACAGCGCACCCCGAGTCCCGGCGACGAGCACGACGGCCCCGTGACAATCGAGTCCCCGAGCCGTTCCCGCCACATCTAAAGAACTCCGCCAGACAGACGGCCGGGATCACAACCCCACAATCTCGGAGGAGACGACGGGTTGTCCCAGTCGACGAAGGGCGAGCTTCGAACATCGAAACCCCTCCCCGATTCGAACCGCATTCCTCGTCCAGACAACCCCCCCCCGAGACACCGGCTCGACCCCCACTACATTCGGCACGATGTCGTTCACCATCCCGTCGCTCCGAGGCCTCGCCTCCCGGTTCCTAATCCGGCCAACCACCCTCACAGCCACTCTCTCCCACCCCTCAAAGACAACACAATGCCTCGCGGCATCAGCCCGGCCCCTCTCCACCACCCCTAGCACGCTCGCCCCGCCAGGCGCCAAAGGCCAAAAAGGCCCCAACAAGGGCCCCAACAGAGGCGGCAAGCCGCAAGCCAAAACAAAGAAGGGCGGCAAGGGCCGGGGCGAGGAGCCGCGGGACCCCAAGATGATCAACATGCTCTCGCACTTCTCCATCCTGTCGCCGAACCGGATCCCGCCGCCGCTGCGCATGGGCCGCAACCGGCACCTGCGGCACTGGACGATCCACCGGGCGTGGCTGCTGTTCCGGCGGCGGGAGCGCGAGGCGCGCGAGCGCAACCTGATGCGGCAGCACCAGAGCATGAGCGCGGCGTGCGAGGAGCTGCGCCTGACCTCGGGCCCGGGCACCAGGGGCGAGGGGTACCTGTACCGCATGGCGATGGAGAAGAAGGGCGTCTACGGCCTGCACGGGGTGCCGGTCGAGTACGCGCGGGCGCAGACCGAGACGCCGGCTAGGGTGGCGTGGAATCACGATTGGAAGCGGTAAGCGGACATGGACCGGGGCAATACGAAGGTGGGGGATTGATGGGATCACGCCGGCATGCTACGGCCAGTTGACCAACCGTAGTCTTGCCGGCTGTTGATCTGGAGTGGCAGATCTGTTACGAATGTAGACTATACTGTACCATATTGAAGGCCGCCACCAGAGTTGTCATGGCAGGGTAAGCATGCCGAGGCGTTCGCCTCTCTATGCTCATGAAGGGTAACGGACACCCAAGCTCGGATTGTCGTGGTATTGCTTGTTCGTTTGACCACATCGCAACTAGATCACAGCTGGGATAAAATATGTCCTGCATTGCCAGTCTGAATTCGCCGGTCCTTAATGTCTGTCCATGCTCAGCGCTGTCGCATGGCCTTTGCTGCCTTGGTACAATCCGCCCCATATCCAAAGCTAAATGCGAGGCCATTAGACTAAAGGAAAACCCAAACTAAAAAGTCTATAGCGTATTAATACAGCGTTGATCGTGCCTCGTGAGGCTCGCTATGCGGTGAGCGTCCGACAGATTAATGGACAGATTTCACCCCAACTTCCGCTTCCGGGTCGTTTTATGCTGACGGATAGACAAAACCCTGTATCAGATGCGTTTAAGGCGGGCCCAAAGAACGATCGCCGCTTTGGTAGCCTGTTGATCCCATGCCGGGGGATAAGAACTTCAAGGGGCGCCCTCTTTCCCTCTAAAAGGCTGGAAGTTGCCGAAGAGTGGTTGAGGGAAACATTCCTGAGTGGCGCCCCATCTCCTGTCCAAGTTGCCTTATAATATCACACAACACCCGTTCCCTTCAGACTTCTCGAACATGAGCAGCGACGCTCTCGTGGCCGCCTCAAAAACGTCGTCGACGCCCTCCCCACTAAGACTGGAACATTCGAGATACTTGCGGGCGCCAATATCCTTGGCCGCGTGCTCGCCGTCGGTGGGAGAAACGAAACGCTGTGACCGTTTCCGCATCTCCTCTATTGCCACGGGGTCGTCCCGCAGATCCTTCTTCAAGCCAACGAGTATGATCGGTACGTCGGGACACCGTTCTTGTGCCTCAACAACCCACTATATCGGCGCGGTCAGTCAACTTCCCCAGCCCGGTCGGTACATCCGTAATCTCAAGAAAGGGCGGTGGGAGAGGACGGGTGCGTCGTACAACCGTCACACATGACGGCGGCATCGACGAGAAAGCCGTTTGAGTGGACAGTGGGGTCGGGATTTGTGACTGTGTACCCACCTTGTGCTTGACATTATCCAGTGAATCTGGCGTGTCGACCGAGAAGCCTATCAGGATGACGTGCGCTTTGGAGTACGCTAGCGGCCGTAACCGTTCATAGTCCTCCTGCCCGGCTGTATCCCATAGAGCCAGCTGGACTGACTTTCCATCCACCCGACAATCCGTTACATAGTTCTCAAAAACGGTTGGTATCTGGGGCGGGAAGAGTCGGTCAGAACGAGGGTAACGGGGATGGTAACGCGGTTTCGGTAGTATTTGGAACAAGGAAGCGTCGGGCCAATTCGGTAGATGTCGTTGTCGTCTCGACGGGTGGTCATGATGGTGAACTACTCACATAATGCTACATCCCATGTCAGTCTTGGATGAGTAGGGGGCAAGTAAACCTTGCAATCATTCGGCACTCACTGTTGGAAAGAAACCAAGTGTAAACACGCTCAACAAACTTGTCTTGCCGCAAGCGCCATCACCAATGATGACGAGTTTCCTGGGTAGCCGAGAAAGTCAGCAAGGCTCGGTGGCCGGCGTGGTGGCTCTCCAAAGACGGTCCATGGTCGGGCATCGCGGATTCGTCCTCAGCTGGCTGGGCAGCGTACCTGCGGATGACATTTTGGGCGTTGCGATCACTCGCCATGGCTGGCAAATGGGCAGGTGAGCGTCGATTCGCTCGGAATCCTGTTGTCGTGCGCAGCCCGCAGTGGACACGGGTAGCAATTGTTGTCGAGAGGAGAAGATAGGTGTGGGTTGGTGTCGGCCGTTGAATGGGATGGAAGGCACCGCCAGTAGTAATTAATACAGTGTGGATGCGTCTCGTCCCAGGACTCATGTCCTAGAAATTTTGAGGGGAACAGCCAGGCTTGACAACCAATTACATAATGCTGGAGGCCCCTGTTCCCCTCGCTCGTTCGCCTTGGCGGGATACGGGATTCTCGTTCTGCTGCGTCATGGAAAAGGATTGTGTAAGTCGGCTGCTCCGGTAACTATGGAAATGCTCAAGCTTTGAGAGATTGCTTGCCTAATGTTTTCTATCTAACTTTCTCCATCTTCTTCTTGCTACCACTACATTCTGTTTTATTCCCTTTGCGCCTTTCAATCCATCCCCTTCCCCTTTTCCTTCAGAGAGAAAGTGATTTAGGTCGTGACGTGGATTTGGCGCCGGGCTGAAGCCCGTCCCCTTTCGTCTCCACCTGGTACACACCAAGCGACGGAACGGGACCTACCTAAAGAGCGTGTGGTCGGTTCCTCTTCCTTCCTTCGGCTCTGATGCGCATGCAGATGATCCTCGAATATTTCCAGACAATTGCAGACTCCTCTGCCTTTTAACTGGAGGAGCAGGTTTCTTACGACCGCATTGAGGCCGAACCGCTTCGTATCTCTTTCCATTCAGTTCCTCGATGTTAACAACCAGCCGTATTCACGAGGTACGGGAGCAGTGGGTCGGACAGCCATGAGGGTGCTCAGCCGCCAGGGCGCTGGATCTCAGGGGTCTGATAGGCCGTGGACAGTGCTGAACACTGGGGCGGGGTGAGGCTGTGCATGAAACCCAAATCGAGCGTCGCAGCCGAAGTAACGAGCTTCCAGGCACAAGTGGAGACGAATGCGAAGATCGTTTCCGTCTGTCTCAACCTCTGCTCCTGTGGTGCTTCTGTTTCCGGTAAACTGTTGACTTCTTGTCAGTTCCGACACGGAGAAACAGAAAAGAGGGAGACCCATGATCCGGAACCTCACCCAGCCGAAGCTCGTGTCACTGCGTTGTCGCCCTTTCCGACCGACCACCTGCATGGCTGCCACACTTCAGCACCGACGTCGCTGGCGAGTTTGATACTTTACCATTCGCTTCTCTCAGCTGAAACCCTCCAAGTCCCGGGGGCGCAAAGAAAGATCGAGTCTCTGAAGCCTCGATGTTTCAACCCATTGATGGTTGGGATTAACGATGACGATGCCGCCTGAGCGACCCACGTGGTTTTGGTGACATCGCGCTGTGTTTGGCATTGGCTCCCCGTTGTCGGTTGCGAGAGCGTTTCAGGGGTTCTACGAACACTGCATGCGCATCAGGTTGTGCGCTAGCCTAGTCGGAGACTTGAAGAGCTTTTCTGACTTCGTACGAAGTACATCTAATCAAACAGATTTGAGACCCAATGACTAATTAGGGCAGAGGTTGTTTCGAATGATTTAAAAGACCGCAGTGGTAAGCCTCTCAATAAACATATCAGGTCCTCTCGTTAGCTTGCAGTCCTCGGATGACCACAGATGCTTCACATCATTGCCATGAGGTAAAGAACCAATGCTTGCAATATGATGTAGTCGACAGTTCAAAGCAACCTTGGCTGACAGTCCGAGGATGCATTTGTACATAGTATCCCCCTACCTAACTTCTGAAGATGTCACACACCCTTCTCATCTTCGTAGGCAGACAGACCACAGGCCCCAAGTGCAATAAACATACCCCAGTAGGTAATGCCAAAATCGAATCACAAAGGCTGCAATTGTTCTCAAGTTGTAACTAAAGAAAAACTAGAGAAAGGCTTGATTGTACTTGGTCTTTCTCAAGGATTGAAAACATGTGCTCAATAACAGAAGGTGGTGTCTCTCTTTAAAACCCGGTCATGAATATTGCAAGTATGCACATACCTAAAAGCGGTTAGTTAGAGACCGGCACATCCGCTTGCGAAGCCTGTGCAAAAATCCGCCCTGCAAGCGTCGGGGCTTGCCACCGTTCATCCAGAATTCAGTGTATCCCTACTGGTAATGTGTGTGGAATTTGGTAACGCCGGCACGCGCGAGGCTGGCGGATCACGTGTGGTAGCCAGCCAATAGGCACTTCTCGATGGGGAAGGAAACGGTGCATGGGCTTGCTGCCAGGGACCACAAATCCATCAGAGGCACCTTGGAAGAGAACAAGTCGACGAAGCTCCGAGGCCAACCACAATTTCGGCCGCATCGCATCCCCTCACAGCAAGTCCGACCACATATCCAGCGAAGCGACGGCCCCTTCGACTGGTGAACCGAACCATCCCTAGCACACAGTGTTCCTGTTTTTGGGCCTAAGGACCTTTGTGAGTTCGCTCCGACCCCTCTGTCAATTAGCCCGCAACCCGCCAACCCTGCCTTCCCGCCCGGCTACCGAAGGAGCCTTGATTCACCCAACAATGCCACATCCCATTTCAAAACCGCGTTCCTTCCAGCCTTGCGATTCTACTTCGGGATTTTGCCTGGCACCTGGAATTTACCCAATATTTGCGGCGCCTGCTCTCCAATTTCCGTTCACTCGTTTGCCCTCCCCCGCACCGCGGTGGTTGGCTTCGAAACCTTGACACAAACTGGCGACCTAAACCGTGACGGCCGGCTTACCATACTCTCGTCTAGTCCTTACACGGTTCCCTCTGCTGCAGCGCCTTTCTGCGGCCCCGATTCATGCCCACTTCACGCTCTCTCTCCTACGAGTTGCAGCGCACGAACAAAGATGAAAGGGAACCGCAACCCGCCACCACCGCCATCCGGCCCCGTACCCCCCTCCCCCACCTCGAAGAATACAGCAAAATATACAAACAAGGACGGGTCCAAGTTCATCACAGTGCCAAAAATGAACACACCCATCGATTCCGCCCAGCCTTCTCCTACCGCATCCTCACTAGCTGCCAAGCCCGCATTACCACCCGGCCCTGAGACCGAACCCCCTCAAACCGTGAATCGCAAGAAACAGAAGCGGCGTGCAAAGGCTGCGGCCAAGGCAGCTGCCGAACGAGCCCAAAACAGCCCGGCCATCAATGGTCTCCCGAGCCCCTCCCCCACCAATGACCAACAATCTGCCGATGCCGACCCAGAGGACGATGAAGACGAGCCGGGCACGGGTCATGACTCAGGAAATCAGTCGTTGTACCTGAATGGAGGCGCGCATGGAGGTGCGCCTGGGAAGTCAAAAAAGAGTAAAAAGAAGAAGAAGAAGAATGCCACAGGACCGGCTGGGGGGTTTCCAAACAACAACCCGTACGCACAAGACGATCGCGATCACTCACCTGAACCAATTCTTCCTCCGCCTCCTCCACAGCAGAACCGTCCCGGCATGTCGAGGGAGAAGATATGGAACACGAATTCGCAAGAGGAGCGTGAGCGCATCAAAGAGTTCTGGTTAGGGCTGAGTGAGGCGGAGCGCAAGTCTTTGGTCAAAGTCGAAAAGGACGCCGTTCTGAAAAAGATGAAGGAACAGCAGAAGCATACTTGCAGTTGCACTGTGTGTGGACGGAAGCGGACCGCCATCGAAGAGGAACTGGAAGGTCTTTACGACGCCTACTATGAGGAGCTGGAACAATATGCGAACCACCCTAACCAAGGCGAAGGTCCACCGATGTTGCGTCCCCGCAGATCCTTTGGCTCAATGGGCGGGATGCGACCCCGCGGCCTCCACTCACGATTCTCCAACCATCAACCGTCCCGTGGGCGCATTGTGGACGAGTTGGAAGGGGACGAAGAGGAGGAGGAGGTTGAGGCTGAGGCCGAGGACGACGGTGAAGGGGATGAAGAGGGCGAGGATGTCTATAGTGAGGATGAGCTGGAAGACGACATGTACAGCGAAGAAGAGCAAGAGCCCTCGGAAGAACTGCACCGATCCGACTACGCCGCCGATTTCTTCAATTTCGGGAATAGCCTGACTGTGCAGGGTAGGGACAGACTCCCCATTCTTCCATCATTCTTACAGAATTATCCCTTCTCGGGGACTGGCAATAACGCTTATGGCTCATCTTCTCTAGGCGGCATCTTGACGGTGGCCGACGACCTGCTCAAGAATGACGGCAAGAAGTTCATCGAAATGATGGAACAACTCGCGGAGCGCCGCATGGCTCGTGAAGAGGATGCCAGGGGGCAGTTTGAGCGGGCTTACGACCACCCAAATGGCGAGCGTTATGTGCACAGTCATCCGCCGCCACCCGACGAGGAAGAATTTGAGGACGAGGAGGAAGAATACGAGGAAGATGACGAGGAGGAATATAACAGCCCGGACGAAGAGGTACGCGGCTCTTGTTTTCTTTTATTTTCCCAAAGGGGAAATCGCATCACTGACGCACCAGAAACAGGACACCATGACGGAGGAACAACGTATGGAGGAAGGCAGGAGGATGTTTCAGATCTTTGCCGCGAGGATGTTCGAGCAAAGAGTGCTTACAGCCTACCGCGAAAAGGTCGCCAAGGAACGTCAGGCGAAGCTCTTGGAGGAAATCGAGGCCGAAAATCAACAAGACGCGCAGCGAAAAGCCAAGAAAGCCAAGGACGCGCAGCGACGCAAAGACAGGGCCGCCAAGAAAAAGGAGGCCCAGGCCGAAGAGAAGGCTCGGAGAGAGGCCGAGAAGGCCGCCGAGGAAGCGGCACGCCGAGCTGAAGAAGCCCGCAAGGCGGAGGAGCAACGGGCCAAGGCCGAAGAGAAGCGGAAGAAGAAGGAGGCCCAACGAAAGGCAGAGGAGGAGGAGCGACAACGGAAGGAGGCGGAGCGCCTACGCAAAATCCAAGACCGTGAAGAAGCCGAGCGCAAGGCTCGAGAAGCCAGAGAACGGGAAAAGAAGACCCGTGAGGAGGCACGCTTAAGGGAGAAAGAAGCCCGCGAGCAAAAAGAACGCAAAGATCGGGAGAGGAGAGAGCAACAGGAGCGGGAGCGGCGGGAAAAGGAGGCAAAGGCAAAGGCGGAGCGGGAAGCGAAGGAGGCTAAAGAAGCTAAGGAGGCTAAGGAGGGGAAAGACACAAAGGAAAGGCGGAAAAAGGAGGAGAGGGCCGCGCATAAGGCCGCAGCCCTCGCACCCGCGATTCCGGTACCCATTACGCTTCCAAAACGGTCCGCTACCCAGCAACCTCCAGCGCCGCCGGTAGCCCCGGTACCAGTGCTGCCGCAGCAGTCAACCTCTTACGCCTCGCCGAAAGTTCCCGTGGCCACGCCAGCCCTTCCCAAGGCGCCGACGCCTATGCGGGCGCGCCAGACATCGCAACAAGATGGCTCAACAGCTTCCTCGGGTGCTGCCTCCAACTCCGGCTCTATGGCTAGCCAAAACCCATCCCCTCACCCGATCACACCAGTACATGCTAGCCCCGGGTTGATGGCGCCTCCGAGCAAGTCCGGCGTTATGGGTATCGGTTCGCAAGGCAGTGCCCAGCCGCCGTCACACTCGGCGTCTCCTATGAGCTTCCCAGCCAAATTGCTCCCTCCGCAGCACAGCCCGTTTGGCATCCCTCCAATGGGCAGTGCTATGTCTTATCCTCCTCCAGGCCTGTCCCAGATGCCGCTTGGTTTTGCTAATCCCCTCCATCGCGAACCCTTGTTCCCTCCTATGCCTGGGTTCAGGCCGGCGTCAGGAATGATGCCGATGCCGCCTGGACTGAACGGGCCGGGCGTGAATCGAGGGTTTCCTCTGCATCCGCCTCCAGGTTTCCTCGGCGGGCCTATGGAGTCTCCGGCGCCGAGCATGGCCCAAGCGATGTCCCCGGGTTTACAAAGAGACAACCAGTCTCCTCATTCACGCCAAGGTTCGGGAAGCTTCGACCCATCGCAACCAATTAGCCGGCCCACGCCGATTGGGAGGCCAGCCAGCGTCGTCCAAGGCCAACGGCCTTCGAACTGGTCGCCGTCTAGTGGGCCACCGAAACCAGAGCCGGAGGCGCATCTAGGAAGTCGTGCACTTCTGGATGACCTAGACGATGGGCCACAGGACTTCCCAGGCCGTCTCTCCCGGGGTGGTTCGGCACCAGGCCCCCGCCCGGCCCCAGGATTCCCGATGCCACCATTCGGGATGGATCCTATGTTCTCACATAACCCGTGGGCTCCTCCAGGTGTAGTACAGCCCAACCTCTTCGGCCCTCATCCACCTCCAAGTTTTAGCCCACTTAGCGCCCATACCCCGATGGGCATGCCCTGGGGCCACGCAATGCCGTCGGCATCGACATTTGGGACACCGGGCGCCGTCGACCGGCCTATCGAGCCGCGGTCGGTGGCTGTGCGGAAAATGCTTCGCCGCGCGTGCGAAGACCTTGCGAATGCCGGCAGCGCCGAGGGCCGCGATTCCTTCATCCCATTGGAGATGATCAAGGTGCAGGTCGAGAATTTCAACCACGGGTATCCTATCGACGAGAAGGACCTTCTCGATATCTGCGAGACCGAGGGCAACGAGGTCAACGGTGGCGGCAGCTTTGACGTAGTCAACGATGGCCAAGGTGGCAGGTCGATCAGATTCGTGTCGGGGGACCAGCGGACGGCGCCGCAGCCAGTCCAACTAGCGGTCGGTTACAACCCCGGGAGTCCGATCGGCGGGGGTCGCTAGAAGTGGCCGACTCTACCACCCTCCCAGCAGGAGGAGTTCGCGAAACTTTTAAAAGAAATTTGGGGGTCTATACCCAACGAGAGCCAAGCAGCCACCACAGACAGTATTCCCAGGCGGCCGGGGGAGCAAGACGGGGTCTATGGAAGATAGGTCAGGCATCCTGGGAAGGAGGCGGGTGCCATAGCTATAGTATATCCTTCGCGAAGTAGCTACTAGGGATTTTCAGCGAAGGTGAAGTGTGTTGTACAGTAGTAGCGTTTGATCCAGCGAAGAGCGGTTCATTGAGCGCAGCATTGCTGCCTTGGTATGATCAAAGCCAACCCAGTCCGCATCGGTGACTGACTGACCTTAATTGTGACTGTACCCGACATTCACGAGCCGAACTGTCTGTCACATGGAGGGGGACTGGAGAGATATGCAATGCCCCAAACCCAACTAATAGGGCGAGATTATTGCCCTATACACAACGCCGCATGCCCCAACAAACTATGGATTACCAAGCAAGTTTATCAACACACAAATTTTCCTAGGGCGGTTTATAAGTTTACTTCCCCGCTGCTCCTCCTCTCCAACCCCCGCCCCTCAACGAGAAGAGAAGCCACCCCGCGCCCAGCTTTGAGATTGGAAATCGCCCGACCTTCCGAGCCAACCTCTATGCCCTCCACCCCGACATCCAACTCCACACTCACACCTCACCATCACCCCTCCCCGCTCAGCGCATGGGGTGCCCATCATTGCCAGCATCAGTAAACGGGTTCCCCGCGGTATACCCACCCTGCTGCGGGAAATGCTGCTGCTGCGGGCCAGGGGACGACGGGCCGGGACCACCACCACCACCCTGATACATCAGCGGCTGGCCCTCGACGGCCGGGCCGGACACGCCGCCGGTGACGGACGTGCCGGCGCGCTTGGCGGCGACGGTGGCCTGGGTCTTGGCCTCCTTGGCGATGCGGGCGGCCTCGGCGGCGCGCTCGGTGCGGCGGTGCTCGCTGCGCTCGCGGCAGCACAGGAAGCAGATGGAGCCGATGGCGACGACGATGGCGCCCGCGAAAGACCGCCGCGATGATGATGCCGTCGACGCCGGAGGGCTTGAGTTCTTGGTACATGCACGACGGGGTTGCCCCTGCGCGTCCCGACTGGCAGATCAGCCCGTCGCGGCACTTGGGCGTGGTCAATGAGGCGTGGGGAAGCAGGAGAGCTTCTTGCCGGACTCGGCGCCCGTGGTTTGGGTGGGGCAGGGTGGTGATTTCGGTGGAGCTGTCGGTGAAGCAGGGGGATGGGGAGCTGGGGCGTTCGTTGGTCACCGCCGTGGCTTGGTCTTGCCGGCCGACGATGGCGGCTAGGCCCGTGTGCCGCGGGAGGTACATGGCCGCGGTGACGCCGGCGGCGATCGGGTCGCGCGCGCCGAGGGGTTCCTTAGCACCGGCTGCGAAGGGGGAGGCGTCGCCGTTGCTGTTCTCCGAGGAGAACTGGCGCCGGCCGCGGCGGAGGTCGGAGTTGGGGTTGTCGCCATTGGCTCCGAGCACCCGGAGGGCTTCAATCTGGGACTCGGCCGACGTGCATCCCTGCGTTGACGAAGCACTGCTCGAGGTTGAAGGTAAGGTCTTCTGGTGTGTGGGCGGCCGGCAGGTGCGAGAAGCAGTAGTTGAGCGAACCCTCGGAGGCCGCATGACGCGGCGATGGAGAGTTCCTGGCTGCGGGTGTTGGAGGCACTTGAGACGGCTGGCGGATGTGAGGGTGGCCGAGGCCAGGAAGAGCGAGGCAAGGATAGTGTTGCGCATTTTGGAGTCGTGTTCTCTGATCGTCGCCTCGGATTCAAGCGCGACTGGTCTGTTCTGTTCCGGGCGTAAACTATCTGCAAGGCGACTTGCCCAATTTGCCGATTTGTTTAGTCAACTGGCTGTCGATGGCTAGCTAGCTAGCCGTCCCTTGTACTCCTGTGTCTCCGGGATGCTGTGCTTCTTGAGTTGCAGTTTTCGGGTCGTCTCGCCGTCGGTAAGGCTCGTATGCGGTTCGCGGCGCTCTGTGGATTTTTCTTCAAGGGCAGAACCGGCATCCAAGGAAACTCAAGTCCCGCAAAATCACAGTGCAAAGGGATCAGCAAGATCCAACGCGAACCGCGTCGATATGTGTCGTCTTCACAGGAATGCAAACAGAGAAGAACTGGGTGAGCAGCCCAACTTTAATTACCAAGGCCTCCTTTTTTTTCCCCGGGCATTGCCCAGCACTCAGCCCAGCCCCTGGCCCGTAGGAGCGGGGGCCACACGAACAAGCACAAACGGGAAGTGGGCTGGGCACAATTGGTGTGAGGCTGCGCTTCTCGATGGAACCTCACAACTGAGAAAGTCAGACTCCAAGGGTCCAAACAGGGGCCCGCTAGAAACAGACGAATCTCTTGGCAACCTGGGGCTGATTATCTCCACTGTCAGCCGTGGCAGCCAATCGAAGCGTGTTGATGTGACGGGCTGTGGCGGATCCTGCCCTCCCAGTGGGGTCTTCACTGCGATGCAGAATTCGACAAAACCAGTGCCGGGCTGCGGCGCCGGCAACTACCCCGTTAGCTCGGTCGATTTTGTCGGGTCGCAACGGTGTTCCATCCTTCGCCAGAGTAAGAACCCGACATCACAACACCCTCCTCTTGTGCTGATGAACAGGCAAATTCGTTGAATGACGTCTTAGGGAACGCTCAAAGAATTCAATACCGATGAATGGCACCTCAAATATGTGGGAGCTGATGTCGGAAATCTTACACAGTACCGATAAATTTGGTACTTGACTCACTACCTAACATACGAAATCGCAAAGCCAAATCGAGCCTAGCATGAATGTGGAATCCCCATGGTTTTCGGGTCTCAAGGCAGCAAATGCGAGTCTCACCAAGCCTCTCGAAAATGGACTAGGCGAGCCACAATCTCGATGGTGCGAAAGAGATAAAATGGCAGAACCCAAAAGAGGGCGGATATTCTCAATATAATAGAAGACTATCTCGGCAACTTGATCAACTCTTCTTAGCCAGGCCAAAGGTTACCCATACCGAACCTGATGGTTCACCGCTCCTTGAGACGTTGTCTTTGTCACTGTTTGGCCCGCCCGACACACTGTGCGACCCTCGCAATCCACGGCAGCGACGGCCCAAAGAACGTGTGTTGGGTCGCTGGCGACTTGACTCCTCCAGCTTGCAAGTGGTTGGTTCTCGTTTGGGAGGATACCCATCAATATTCCCTCTGGTTCTGAGCCACGTGCAGTACGTGCTGCAGCATCACCCCGCAGCGTTGAGAAGTTATGTGGCTGCTAGCTCTCGCTCTCCAGGAATAGCAAACAAGCTCCGCCGAAGACTTGCAGGGGACAGACATCTTCAGGCCGCGAACCTGCATGCCGCCAGCAAACAAGCAGTCCGAGACTTGGCCTGACCATCTGCAGCACGGCTCCTGAAAACCGAAGACCGAAGCCCGGGGATGTCGGTACCCTGCAGTGCAGTGGTCAACCAACCCCTATGTTCCACAACAGCAACCATGACAGCAACCGTGGAGCGCCTGAAACTCACACGCTCGAAACTCAACCCACTTGTGCCCTCTGTGGTCAACTGTCCCTCGAGCATGATAAACAAGATCTCAAGAGAAGAGTGGCTTTACATTGACTGCATACAAATTATGTCTTTCTGACGCAAAGGCCAATTCTCGCCAGCAACGACAAGCCGTGTCCTTACAAGGCATCCCCTCCACTCAACCACAACCCCGAAACAATCCTACATTAGATACCACAATAAACAAGTAGGTAAACAGACTCTAGGAACTTTGCAGGGTCTGAAACCACCAAAAACGCCGGTGTCTTTTCTGGGAGGCCAAGTCAGCACCCCGCGAAACATGATCACTACCGCCGCCGCCCTCCGCTTCATCCCCCGTCATTACCTGCAGCCACCGTCTCCCAGTCCGTTTTCCGTATCGCTTTGCATCGTCTTCTTCCGCCGTCGTCCCCCGTTTCCATCTTGTATCGGCACTTCGCAGCACCTGCCTCTGCCGCGAGGTACCACAGACACCCAGTAAACGCCCCCACGGTGTGGGGCTCAGTGTCCTTGCAGTAGTTGACACTCTCATCGGGAACCGTTTGTTTGGTTCCCCCATCCTGATGGCGAGCTTGGCGGACGGACTGGACATCTCTGGTCGTTTTTCCGACGCCTTACTTGCCTCGAGCTTCGCGTCCGCTCTGGGTGTTCTGATTCCCCCCTGACTTTCTCCCTCTATTTCGAGTTTCCGCTTTGTCTCGCGCTCATTGAGCGCTTCTTTCTTCGCGGCGAGCAGCGTTCTCGCACTTCAGACTAGGTAGAGAAGGTAAGGGGTTAGCTAGGGCACAAACCGGGGGTGAATGGCCTGGGAAGATGGGGGCAAGTTTAGTTTCGTACCAAGAAGCAAGTCGGGGATAATAGGCGGCGTGGATTTTGCAGTACACATAGTGCCCACGCTGGAAGCAACGAATGCTCCAGATGGATCTGCACTGTGGGCTGATCACGATGCCATATTAGGTGATGTTACCTTGTTGCACAGCGGGCGAGTGACTAACCAGTGGTGCTTGATGACAGGGTCATGATGTTTTCCACCCATTGTATGAACAAGACCACAATCGTTGCCAAACGGTAATTCGTATGAGACTGAACACCACGGGGTTTGTGGCCATGAGTGTAGTGGTTGCACAAAACGAAGAGTGACGGGAACCTGGAGTGGAAGTGGAAGGCAAGCAGACCGTGCCCGCAAGTCAGCTCGGGTTTGTGGGAGCAATATGCTCGAAATTGTACTGTGGGAAACGGTCAACATATTTTCCATGAATTTGATTAACACCGAGTGGATTCGCGGTCCTTCTCTATCCCATCTCTTCACTTCCATAACTGCCAATGTCCCTGGGCACTTGATGCGTCGTTTGCATGGAGGGGTCAGTCGAACGAATGAGCGGCATTTCTCCATGCACCATGCCGTACAATTATGGATTCTCTCTCCTTTTCTTTTATCACTTGTCGGGGGTTCTGGAACCAGGCGGGAAAGCCAGGCACCCAGCCGCTGATGCTGCTCCCATCCGCTCTGGGGCTTCCTCAGTCGGGGGCTAGGCACATCAGTTCGCGGGGGTTATCATCAGAACCCAGAAACGTTCCGGGGCGCTTAGTGCCGACTGATATCTGACAAAACTCAAAAGGCCATGCCGCATCAGACGATACTAAGTGAGAGGTGCTTTGAACAGGGGGGGATGAATATTGAACTCCTTGCTCAATACAATAAATCTCATGAAATATGGTTCAGTCAAATAAGGGATAGCTAGCTAACTACCCACTTAGAAGGGCCAAGAACGATTGTTTTTTGAATGCCCCTACATTTGTAGAGGAGTCAGTTGGTGAACAGGGATGAAAGAAGAGACTCGTCATCAGTCATTTTTATAAAATTTATTCATGTCATCACACCATGTGATGACAAGCATGGGGGAATGAAATGGATTGGTAATATACAACCACAGCAATACGACAGATTGTTTATAAAAAGCCCAACACTAACTAGCACATTTTGACAATAAAAATCGCAAATCACTTCTCTGCTCGCCTCCCGGTAATTGTTCACATTGAACATCAAGGTGCACACAAACTTACCCCAACTATTCACCCAGTTTCACCAAATTAATTCTCTAGTTAGTTACCATTCTTATCTGGGCAGTAACCACACTTCAGAATAATAGAATATAGAATAATATTGACTATTGACTACATACCTACTTGGGCATCAGACAAGTTGAGGGGAGGATCATGGTAGTGGGTCCAGCCAAGGCAAGCTAATAAAGTTCTACTTCGGTCTTCAAATCATCAATTGATCAATGGTTTCATGGTGTAGTTGGTTATCACGTCAGTCTAACACACTGAAGGTCTCCAGTTCGAGCCTGGATGAAATCATATGACTTTACTTTTGCACCTTAGCTTTGCTCTAAGTTCAATTTTTGCCCACGAGGGAGTGATCCCGCTTTTGCGGCCTTGGGGGTTGGGCAGCCTCAAGTACGAGTCGGCGAGATCCGATTGGCAATATTGGAACTTGGTAAGAAAGACGGCATCGGCATGTGGCTGAGCCGACCTGCTACGTCATTAGCACCAGCCCAGAGAACACCAGCTACTCTGTATTTAATTCCAACCCCGCGACCCGAAGCCCGAAAACGTTCTTTTCAGCACTATGCAAAGAATCTGCAGGGCCTTTACAAGCACAGCACAGCGTAGTTTCAACGACACAATTACTCGACCCAAACAAAACACGAACAACATGCCTCTCGTCGTTCCTGGAGTCACGGCCGACAACGTGAGCGCCGACAAGGCGAAGGAGTGGATGACGAAGCTGGCAGGCAAGACGCTAACCGAGGGGCCATCTTCCGAGACCGTAGGTGCCCACTGGGTTTCTTTTCTTAGTTGTTTTTCGTCAAGCGCTCCCGCTGACAAGCTGTATCATCATAGACTTTTTGCAAAACCGAACTGCCCCAACAGACACGAGTTATCGAACCAGGCATGATGGTGACTAGGGATTATCAGCCCGAGAGACTCAACGTCCAGGTCAAGGACGACGGGACTGTTGAGAATGTGTATCATGGCTGAATACCCAGACGGGGTCCGCTAGAGCGGGGTTCGGGAGGTCTAGAGGAGTTCTGCCCGGTTGAACTTGGACGATACCATAGTCTTCCTCGCTATTGAGATCACTGCTTTATTTCAATGTCCCGCCTTGTTTTGTCAATACCAATGCACGTGAATTTCAGCCTTGACACAGTAGGTAGTCGAGCCATGATGGTGTCTGTCCGCCTCGCGGTGACGACACACTGGCTCGCGGCTGTAAAAGAACCCCGCCAAATGTGCTTGGCGGTCACCCCACCACGCTTCTTCCCCTCCATTGCTGCATTGAGCCAAAGATCGCGGGGCAAGCAAGCACTGCATCGCGACGAGTGCTGAAAGCTCATCCTACCGCAAGCATACTCCAAATCACAACCTAAAGTAGCCCAAGTACATCGCAGGAGTGGCGCGTTGCCCTCCCTCTACCGACCATGTTTAAAAAAGAGTAAGCTTCCCCTCCCCGCTTCCAAGAAGCCCCCTTCATGCCGCCCACGCGAACACCAAAACACCCACCCCTCCAAAACCCCCCAACTAACCTCTCCGCTCCGAAACCCAGCCTCCACGGCTCCCCCAAACAAAAGCTCAAATCCTCCATCCAGCGCTCCATCCGCCAGTCGATCCTGACCACATACCCCCTCCTGACGCCGCACATCGACGAGGTGCTGCCCAAGAAGCACTCGCTGGAGCAGATCAAGCTGCCGGACCGCGTGGCGCTCTTCGTCATCGACGGCCACCCGCTCGTCTACCAGCAGGACAACAACCGCGTGCTGCTGCCCCACCTGCGCCTCGTCCACCGCTTCCCCCACTGCTTCCCCACTGTGCGCATCGACCGCGGCGCCATCCGCTTCGTGCTCTCCGGCGCGACCCTCATGGCGCCGGGGTTGACCAGCCCCGGAGGTAGGCTGCCCATTCCGGTGGATCGGGATGCGCTTGCTGCGGCGGCGGCGGCGGGTGGGGAGGGGAAGGGGGAGGAGAAGGCTGTGAAGGAGGGGGAGGATGGAGAGGAGGGTGATGATGAGGAGGGGGAGGAGGCTGTGAAGGTGCCGAATGAGGGGCCTGATGAGGACGGGCATTGGAGTAGAGAGCTGGAGAAGGGGGAGCCGGTTGTGATCATGGCTGAGGGCAAGGAAGAGGCTGCTGCGGTGGGGATCTTGGTGATGGGGACTAAGGATATCAAGGAGAAGGGGAAGGGGCCGGTCATGGAGGAGGCGCATTTCCTAGGGGATGGGCTTTGGGGGTTGAGCGTGGAATAGGGTACGGGGGCGGGTGTGTCTACCGTAAAGCGGTAGCCAGTAAACTGTCTCTTTCGTTGTCCCAGCGGGCTGTGTGTCTCCTCCGAAGTGTTGGTCTGTGGACGTACATAGTGTTCTTGGGCCCATTAAGAGGTTTCCAGGTTGACTTCATCCTGCCTATCCCTCCCCTGGACTGGTTACTTAAAGTAGGCTGTACGTAGCCTGCATGATTCAACCTTATGGCTGGCATAACTGCATATATCCTCCTGCTAAAGTCTCCGTTGTTAGACCAGCGATGGCATGCCTCTCCCCGGGAGATCCCTCGTAGCGGTGAAGATACATCCTGCAAACAAGGAGGAACCAAAAATCGGGACCGGCAAAAGTAATCGACAACGAGCGGATTCGAACCGCTGCGGCCGAAGCCATACGCTTTCGAGGCGTACCCATTAACCACTCTGGCACGTTGCCGTTCGACAGGGATATTTTGTTGCGCACAAACTTCCCCTGAAGGAGTCAACAAACTGGAGCTCGAAGGGTTAGGGTTGGTGTGTGCTTGCCGACCCTTGCTCTGCTGCTGGATGATGGATGACGCAGTGTGGTGTGAGGGCCCAAGTTTAGCGCCCAAACTGGGCTCCAACAGTGCCAAGGCCGCCCCGACCTAGAACCCGCCCCTCCTTCTCGGGCTGCTTCCCCCACGATCGATCGATTCCCAAACCATGTGTTACTCTTGACTTTCACTAACAACATTGTGGTAATCTGCGTTATATCGCCAACTCAACGCCTGCATCGGCTAAACACTAGACCATTGCAATCATGGCCGCGAGAGGCGTTTCGGTGCTCAAGTTCGTCGGCACCGTGTCCCTCGGTGTCCTGACAGTGAGTTGCCCTTTCCACTCTCTTTCCCCGCGCAGCATGGATGGATGATGCGGGCAACCGGCCAGGCCGTATCCTACGTCTCCTACAACATGCTACCCAGGAATACTAACTCTGCGTGCTTCAGGGTCTCTCCTACACACTCACCTCCCTCACAATCCCCGCACTCCTGACCCTCCCCTCCGCCGGCTCCGCAGCACGGGCCTTCGACATCCTCACGACCACGGCATCACGCCACGCCCGGTCGCTCGCCGCGGGTGTCCTCCTCGGCGTTCGTGCTCGCCTACATTCTTCTCGCCGCGCGCGCTGCGCCCACCCCTAACCTGCTGTACGCGTTCGGCCCTCGTGCTCGGCTTCGCACTTCGCCGCCCACCGACCTGCTCGCCCCCTTACCTGCTCTCGCTCGGGCCCGGTCCGCCCGGCGTCCGCTTCCGAGGCCGCCGCCACCGCGGCTCAGAGGCGGCAGCGGGAGAAGCGACAGAGGGAGCGCGAGCAGCGCGCCGCGGCTGCTCGCGCCCGCATGGAGGCCAGCTACGAGGTACTCGGTGGGTTTGAGGCGCACAGTGAGGGCAGTGCTGAGGAGTACGAGGCTGAGGAGGCTTATGTGAATGGTGAGCAAGGTCAGGGCTCAGGTGGAGGTGTTCCTCCAGAAAGCAGATCGTGCGGGGCGCGCTGTCTGGCCCTGGGGTTTCCTGCTCTCCGTGGTGGGCATCTGGGGTGATGGGGATCGTCCCCATTTATGAGCCGGCTATGGTCGTCGAGCTTTAAGATACGAGATGTATTGGTTGGTGAGGAATGCATGCGAGGCTATTTGATGGGGTCTGAAATTGTGGGGTTTGCGATGGATAGGGTGTTGGGGAGCTTCGGCTACTGCATGCGAGAAACATCTTCGCTCTGATTTTGGGTCTTGCGCAAAATTTTGATTTACTTACTGATTTTACTGAGAGATTGTATCTACGAAGGAATGGAACTCCACACGCTATGATTTATATTCGATGACTGGGGATGTGTGCTCTGTCTTGTCTTAAGTCTGCACTGAAGTGAAGACACAAGGTAGAGCCAAACCCTTCTCGTCATTTCAGCCTCCTTCTTTTCCAGTAGGGGAGCCCTCGGGGGTATAATCATGGCAGCCACCTCCGTTCCTTCTTTGATGTAGAATCTAACGTTGGGCAGTTCAAGACATGGACTGGGAAGTAGCGAACATGCCCGGAAGCGAAGCTAAGAGGTAAGAGTAGCCCATTACACAACATCCCTCGGTCTCCCGTCTTATTATCGTCAGATTCTTCACCCCAGTTTGCGCCAAAGGGCTTCCGGGTCAGCTTGGACTGTCAGTCTTGTATTTTCTTCATAATAAGAGTATCTCTCGTTCAACCACTGGCCAATAATACGTTCGTTAGGCAAAACAGTTGGCATCCCGCTCGACGCTGGTATCCGACACTGCTATCTCCGTGTGATCTCATTCCTCAACCATGGCTAGAGGAAAATGGCGCGAACGGATTCGCAGGGCCCGTCGTCGCCTTCTTCGCCGGCAAGGCCAATGCATCATCCAGGACAGCCCAACCTTTGCTCCATACGGTCAGCCTTTTCAGCAGGCGTCCTGCGCACCAAACGACCCGCATATCCCCGTTATACAAATTGGGCCAAACCAACCGTCGTATTACTACCCACCGCTTCGCCTTCAAGATAACCTCCGTCGTTATCATACGCCGCATCAATCAACTTTTGACCTCACCCTGCCAATCCCGCCGTCGGGGATATCGCAGCGATACCCAACACGATCATCCCCCAAAGGCTTGGCCTTGTCTTTGAAGAGCTTGTCCCTGAAAGGCTCCTCTATCAGGAGCTCCTCTCCCAAAACCTCATCTCCCAAAACCTCGTCGGCCAAAACACCGCCATCGGCCAAAACCTCTTCGTCAACCAAAACGTCGATTTCCGATTACCAGCCGGACCAACCAAAACCCAAGACATCACGCTCGGTGATATCCCTGCTATCGTCCCGGATGTCAACAAAGACGCAACACGGGAGCCTTCACAGCTCGCGCTGGTCCTTTGGTAGCAACCGTACCATGCGCTCCGTGCGGCCGGACATCTCTCACTTTACGGCTGACGACACGAATCCCTCCCCCCACAGCGGCATGACGCCTCCCAAGGCCTCCGCCGGCCCCATTATTCCTCCCAGATTGCGTCGGCCATCTTCCCTCTCGGGCGGCCGCGGGCAGTACCTCCCCACGCCGCCGCCTACTCCTCCGCTTTCTTCTTCTGACGTAGTGCTGCCGGGCCTGTAGGGTGAGTGGAGAGAGTAAAAGTGGTGGCGGCAGTGATGGGGAAGTGGGGGAAGGGGGGAGGAACTACCGGGCCGGGCGGCAGAGTCAGTCCGGGTCCAAAGGTCACAGTCCAGCCCAAACGGAGGAGGATGAGACTCGGCTCCGCGGGCGGAGTATACGTGAGCTCTTTTGTTCGGGAGGGGGGACGCTCGCCACCGTCCAAGCGCGGGAGCTGGGACTCCGGGTTTGTCGTCGGCTTTTGGGTGACGGGCCGAGCGCTTTTCGTTGGTTGGGTGGTGTGGTAGGTTGGGTGTTGCGGTTGGGAGCATTAGGAAGGGGAGCATGTTGCTGCGTACTACCACATGTCAGTTTGTATGGATGGAGGCCGGATGTCCGGTTGAGTCTGGTTTAGGTGTTGGCCAAGGGAAGAGATGCAGAGGCCTGAAACTTTGGGGCGGAGGAATCCCCTCATGTGGTTTGGCAACCGGTTCATTGAGGGACGGGGGATCGATTATTAACACATATGTCTGTCTTGTAAGAGTTAGGGAGTTTAGCGGTCCTTCTAGGTACAGATTTATCCCAGCGGGGATGCTTGATACCTGCTCATCCTCCACATAACTGTTCCCGCGTGTTCTGGTGCAGATTGAGTCTTGCGGTGAAGACAAAACTGAAAGAACGAGACCAAGAGAACCTTGAAAAAATTGAGGACAACAAGGTGACCAGCTACGAAGATGTTAGGGAAGGGGTCAACCATTCTAGCAATTTGCTTCGGATAAACCACAGGGCGGATATCTCCTCCATCTCGATTTTCGCGAGCGCAGCCAGATGGAACCGACCGTAAAACAGGTGTCGCCCTGGGCAAACGTCAAATGCGCGATTGTCCGGAGATTGCGCACCTAGTCGCGATTACCAACCCACTACTCCAACAAATAGCCAGGGCAAGATGGCCGAGCGGTCTAAGGCGCTGTCTTCAGGTTTCCAAAAGAAACTTGGCAGTCCGAAAGGGCGTGGGTTCGAATCCCACTCTTGTCATAAACTTTTGCTGCTATTTTCTCGGTACTTTTTTCCCCGGACGTGTGTGTGGTGAGGTTCCTTTTTCGTCGTCAGGGTTGCGTTCGAAATGCGGCAGTGTATCAAGTACACGGATTCTATGGTGCTCACGGCGTGTAAACTGCGCGTCGTTTCTTCGGACCGTGACGAGAGCCCGGTTTCGAGGACCATGGAGGTTTTGTTATTTTCGGAACCCAGTGTTGAGAGGCGGCATGGCCCGTTTCTCGTGAGGATCGAGAGTGGTCAGTCAAAGAAGACATGATTGACGGTTTTCCTTTCTCGTGTTACAGTTTTAGGATCTGAACCCCTGATATTTGCCCGCCACGTCAAAATAAGCACAGCTTCAAAGCGGCCACTCAAACGGCAGCACCTGCTTGCCGTGTATAAAGGGAGGGATTCTGGGGGCCGCCGATCGAGATGCGAGAGCAGCGGCTCGCAGGAATCCCACGGCGCTCCCACAGCGGTGCCATTGCATTGCCATCCTGGTTTATTTCGTATTCTCAGGCCGCTCGGTTTGCTTTGCCATTGTGGTGCGTTTGTTTGCCTGAGACACCGCCGTCGTATTCGGGCTGTGGGACTGTGGTGCGAAAGACTGGGGCTAGTCTGCAGGTCTTGACCTGGGTTGCCTTTCCTATGCGGGGAGTATATTGAAACATTAGTAGGGACCTGGGAGATTCATCGGACGAAAAGTTTCGAGTCCTGACTCTAGAATCGCCTGCCGTGGCGGCACGAGCGCAATCGCCACCGAACTCGGGGTACTGACTCGAGGTGCGACCTACAAATAACCACGGCTTACCAGCGTTTGAGTCTCAGACAAGAATGTTTTGAGAACATCGGTTTGTTGGGGCCGTTGAAGTCTAGCGTTAAGCGCACAACTGGCACTTCTGAGGCTACCGAGAGCATCCCACGGTTTTCTTGTTGCTCGATCCCTCTTTTTCGAGCTTCGGTCTGCCGCACTTCCAGGATGCATTGGAGTCTCGCATCACTCGTTACGGCTTTGGCCGTCCCCTCCTTCGGATTCCTTCAACCTTCGTTGTTGAACCCACGCCATCCACGGCATTCACCCCGTGTTGAGAATCAGCCGGTCCAAAACCCAACCCAATCGTCGTTTCAAAACCAAACGCAGTCGCCGTTCCTCAATGAGCGGTCAAGCGGTAAGATGCATCATCGAATCCAGGACGGGGCCAACTTACTGACGTGACCAGGGTTTGCCGTGAACGGCTCGGCCATCCCGTTGGTTGACTTTGATGTGGGCGAGTCCTACGCGGGACTGCTGCCTACCGGCAATGATACCAGTCGCCAGTGTACTTCTGGTCTTCCCTTCACAACCCAGCTGCCCAAGAAAACAAGGAGATCCTGATCTACCTGACCGGAGGTCCGGGCTGCTCGTCGATCGGCGAGCTTCTCCAGCTGAACGGCCCCGTCTCCTGGCAGCCGGGGACATTCCAGCCGGTCCAGAACAAATGGAGCTGGCACCGCCTCACCAACGTCGTCTGGATCGATCAGCCGGTCGGGACAGGATTCTCGCAGGGTTCCCCCACGTCCACCAGCGAGGCGGACGTCACCCGGGACTTTCTCGGGTTCTGGCAGAACTTTGTCGACACGTTCACCCTCCAGGGGTACCAAGTGTACGTTACGGGCTCGTCGTACGGCGGCATGTACGCCCCGTTCATCTCGAGTGCCATGCTCGACCGCAACGACACCGCCTACTTCAACGTCTCAGGGATGGCCGTCTGGGACGGGTTGTACTCCAAGTTCCCGCTGGTCGAGGACATCCCGGTTGCTCGGTTCGTCGACAAGTGGAAGGAGGCTCTTCCCTTCAACGACACTTTCAAAGCCGGCATCAAGGCAATCGACGAAAAGTGCGGATACTCGGCGTACCTCGACGAGTTCCTCGTCTTCCCGCCAAAGGGCCCGCAACCTTCCATCATGCCGGGCGAGGACCCAGTCACCGGTCTAGCACGCCCTGAATGCTCCCTCTACCTCGCCACCTTCCTCGCCGCGAAAGAGCTCAACCCATGCCTCAACCCCTTCGACGTGACCTCAAAATGCCCCGCACTATTCGGTTAGTCCCTCCCTCCTCCCTTCCACACAAACCCCCACTAACCCCCCCCCCCTCTAAACCCCCCTCGGCTTCGCCGGCGGCACTTTTCCTCCTCCCCAGCACCTTCCCGACGCCCTACTTTCGACCTCCCCGCTGTCAAAACCGCGCTCCACGCGCCCCCCAACACCACCTGGGCCTTCTGGCCAGGACATGGCCACGCCACCCCGGTCTTCGCGGGGCCGGCGTCGACATCCTCGCTCAACGCCGGCCCCGGCAGGCCAGCCCGTGGCCTGCCGGGGGTGATCGAGCGCACGGGGAACGTGATCCTGGGCCATGGGTCGCGGGATTTCTTGGTGCTGCCCGAGGGGACGCTGTTGACGATTCAGAATTTGACGTGGGGTGGGGGGATGGGGTTTGGGGAACGGCCCGAGGGGGTGTTGTTCGTGCCTGCAACCGCGGGGGGTGCGGCGGGCGCGGGTGTTGTAGGCGAGCAGTCATGCGGAGAAGGGGGTTGACCTGGATTTGGGGCGGCGATGGCGCGGCATTTGCTGGCGTTGGATCAGCCGGCGGTGGCGTTTCGGATGGAGGAGGTGTTGTTGGGAAGGGTGGAGGGATTTAAGAGTACGGTGCCGTTTACGGTGGATATGGGGTGGGGTTGTTGAGGGAGGCCAGCAGTTTGTATCGGGGGGTGGTGCAGGGGAAGGGGACGGTGGATGTTGGGGGGGCGGCTGGGTATCAGTATAGGGGCTGGGATGGGAATGGGACGGCGTATGGGGGTGGGAGGGGAGAAGGACTTGCGTGAGGTGGTGATGGGTGCGATAGGTTAGTTGGTGGTATGAAGCACTTGGTTGTGGTTTTTTTTTCTTTCTGCAAGAAGGGGTTTAATTACCTCGACTTCGAAGATACCTCAGGTAGACTTCTTATCACGGCACCCTTTTAGATCTTTCTTAGCCTTTCATTTAATTTTTTCTTTCTTTTTTTTTATGCTTCTCTTTTAGTCTCTTTTTTCCTGAGGCAGAAATTGATTGGTTTTCTCATTGACGGAACTGATGGCCAAAAAGAAGATTCCCCGGGCTCCCTCGGTACCAGCCCCTGTCGCTCAACCCCTGCCCAGATGTCTTGGCTGCAGCTGACAACGCCGAGATCCTGCAGCATGGAGAAGCCGACCTTCGGGATCGTCCTCAAAACTCCGCCGCAGAAACCATCACAGGATGCATCTCGTCGAATAAAACCCGCTCCATGATCGCGCCAGCAACCGTGGCCATGCCATTCGGACTTTCCTCTCTTTTGAATTTCTGGTACACCTAGCCACCTTCTGGGCTAAGCCGCCCCGATGCAGCTAACACTACCCCTCCTCCTTCGGCAAACCGCCCGCCCCTCCATCATCAACTCTCTTTGCTCGCGTGCTTCACTCCCTGTCCAGCTCCCCTCCGTTTCCAATACTAGACACCATTACCCACCACGAACTCAACCAATTCGTCTCACCTCACAACCTACACGCACAATGGCTAGTCGATGCTCCCCTCCAGCCTCACCCTCCTCCATCCCGGACGGCGGCAAGCTCCGAGCGTCATCGATCCGCATTTTCGAGAAAGTTTCCACCTTGCGCCGCTGGCGCCAGCCGCTCCTGCTCGACCGGCGATCCGTCGCCCTCGTCCCGACTATGGGTGCCCTGCACGAGGGCCACCTGTCGCTGATCCGCACCGCCGCGCGCGAGAACCACCACGTCGTCGTCTCGGTCTTCGTCAACCCAGCCCAGTTCGGCGTGAGCGAGGACCTCGCATCGTATCCGGTGAGCTGGGATGCCGACGTCGAGGCGTTGATCAAGCTCGACCGGGAGCTCGCCGACGACGGGAACAATTTGGGACGGATCAGCGCCTTGTTCCATCCAAGCACCGGCGAGATGTACCCGTCCGGTTTCCCGGGGCCAGGAGTTGACTAGCACGGGCAGTTTTGTTACCATCACGCCCCTTGGGTGACATCCTGGGAGGGCATGTCCCGCGCCGACCTTTTTCCCGCGGTGTTGCCACGGTCTGCATGAAAGCTGTTCAACATTGTGGCAGCCGACGCGCGGTGTATTTTGGGCAGAAAGGATGTTGCAGCAGACGGGTGGTGGATCAAGAAAGATGGTGCGGGACTTTAATGCTTCCCCCGTGGGAAGTCGGCCGTGGGTCCCTACCAACTCGCGCTGAAGCACGGGGGTTGCCCTAAGTTTTCCGGAAACGTTTACCTGGGCGAGAGGAGGAGGGCGTTGGCTAAGGGGTGTGGAGGAGCGGCTCAAGAATTGCCGAAAATGGCATACAGCCTGGGTGCGCGGGAACGGGTTGCCCGTCTCTCGGCCGGCGCGCCGGGGGGTGAAGCTAGAGTGGGGCCCAACCAACCGGCGAAGGGGGCCGGGAAGAAAAAGGATGTGTACTCGAGTGGGGGACTTTCT